GGCAGGATCCGAAGCGGTGGCTGCTACAAGAATGAATATTCCAAAGCATTCGCTTCTGAAAAGAATTTGAACTAATTGTGCCACAGTTGAACGTTTCTGTCCAACCGCTACATAGACACAATACAATGTCTCACTCTCAGAGGTGGCCTTTGAGTTCAGTTGCTTTGGTTTAATATGGTATCGATAGCAATAGCAGTTTTTCCCGTTTGTCGGTCCCCGATTATAAGTTCTCGTTGACCACGGCCTATAGGAACCAGGCTATCTACCGCCTTTAACCCGGTTTGCATAGGCTCGTGCACAGATTTACGTTCAATAATCCCCGGGGCTTTCACTTCGACACGTCGACGCTCGTGATCGCTTAGAGCCCCTCTTCCGTCAATAGGTACTCCCAACGCGTCGACCACACGCCCTAGCATAGCCTTTCCCGCAGGAACATCCACAATAGATCCAGTGCGCTTGACAAGATCTCCCTCTTTAATAGCGGTATCACTACCAAAGACAACAATCCCTACATTCTCATTCTCAAGATTTAAGGCTATTCCTTTCACACCGCTGGCAAATTCCACCATTTCCCCGGCTTGAATCTCGTTCAATCCATAAACACGTGCAATCCCATCTCCAACTGAAACCACTCGACCGATCTCATCCACTTGAAAATTCGTGTAAAAGTTGGTAATTCTACTTTCTAATAGAGTCGTTAGTTCCGCAGCTCTGGAAGAAAATTCCATGATTCAAAAATAGATAGGCAGAGTTAACAGATAAGGCCGCCCGGGGAATAAATATAACGATAGACCTGGTCGCGGATCAAGGCCTTGTCGCCGTTGATCAGCAGGTCCAAGCAATCATATTGGCTCAGTACTGGAGCCTCCTTTGGGCTCTCAGTAACCGCGATTACAAGGTCATTCACGGTCAATTCTGGGGGTAATTGCCTTCCAGAAATCACTATCAAATCCTCTAATTTAGAACATACATTATATTATATTATTCATTATTTAATACCTCTTATAACTCAGGTGGAGCGCTTTGCGCGTCCGACCTAGTTGAAGAGGTACTTGACGAAAAAGACAGACTATCATCGAAGATAAAAGAGAAATCACTGGGCGTAGGATTTCCATAGAGTACAAAAAAATGTTAATTCATGCCCGCCTTACCTTAGTTCAATATTCCGCCCCCTCCAAAAAAGAAAAGAAAGACTTCAATGTAGCCTTAACTACTACTACATTACGCAAGCTCCACCAATACCTATCGCGAAAGCGTACTCGGCGTCCATCTGGAGTCAAAGTTCCTGGTGAATACGGAATGGCGAATGGTTTGGTTCCGTTTCAATTTCCTAGACTTACAAAAGAGAATTGTGAGAATTGGGCAATTAGAGCCTTGCTAGGATCACAAGATGCTTGGGAGATAGTTGAGAAAGGTTATGTAAAGCCAGAAGATGAAACTTCTTTGCCCACTCAGAGGGATACCTTGCAAAAGGCTAGGAAGAAGGGCTTTAGTTAAGCTACATCCATTTTAGAATAGGATCTTTTATGTAGCCCAACTCATGCAGTTAAACGGCATAAAATGAAGCTTAACAATTCGAGGGTATTTCCTAGCTACCAGAAGAATGAAGCTAACTCTAACATTTAGCACCTTCCTTTCGGAATTAGAATCAAACAAAGGAGATAGTTTATTAATACTAGTTTTCTCTTTAGCAGCATGAACAATCTGGTATTCCCCTTCCTTACTCGCTTCGTTCTTTAGTGTCCGAGCTCTTTTCGAGAGAGCAAGAAAAAACGCATATTTAGTGAAAGGCGTGACTTTCGCGCATCCGTTTTCTTGCTGGAACAAAGCATCTGTTTGTAAGTTGCTTTGGAATTTAGCAAACAAAAAAGACAAGGTCTGGGTCAGGTGGATTCATGAGTACTATATCAAAGGGAGAGACATCACTCAAATGGAAGCGGGAGTTCATTTCGGTCACGGTACTCGAAAAATGGAATCCTAGAATGGTGCCTTATATCTCTACAAAATGTAAGGGTATTCAGATTCTATCTCAATTAGGTGAGGGGTGTGCAATCCCTGTGAATAGGGTCCCCCACCTTCAAAGAGAATCAATAACATCTTCTCCTGGTAGGAAGTAGGTTTCGAAGCTGTATGAAAAGACAGAGTCAAGAAAAGGTTGTGAGCAGTCTCAAGGGAAGCCCGAATAGCGGATAGTTTGAACGGTGGAAAGCAGCCTAGGAAAGATTTCTCCAGGTAGGAAATATATATAGGTTTCTATAAGCGAGCACGAGGGTAGTGGGGAATCGTCGAGTTAAGGTACGTAGTCGCTTAAGCGAAGGTTAAGGAGTGAAAAGCGCGGAAGAGAGAGATTTCTCTCGTTAGTCCAGGCATGATTGCCGCGGGTTGTGGCCCACCCGACGGACTTCCCTGGATGTAGTCAGCGTTAAGTCTATGTCACACAGGGCACCAATCAATTTCGTTGGGAAGATGGCAAGGATGAAAGAAGGATATCGAGAGAGATGGGAAAAGAGTACAGAAGCGAGAGCGGGCTATAGCTTGAATTGGCTCGTGCACACACACATGAAACTTAAGAAGGGGAGGGCTTTTCCAGCTAGAAAAAAAGCAACCAACAAAGCCAGACAGCAAGAAAGAGAGTGGGGCAGTCTCATCCCATGAAAGGTAAGGAAGGACTGCAGCTTTCCCGAGTGGAAGAGGTTCAATTCAATAGTTCCGACTCTGACTTTGAAGCCCGGCCGGGTGAAGAAGCCTCAGCCCGAGCAAGGTTAAGGAAAGGCTGGCTTCCCTTGCTGAAGGAAGGGCTGTCCGAAGTAAAGGAGTTTATGCCAAGCAAGCTAGGGTCGGTTCGTATTGACAAAGAGCTGGACTTCTTAACTTTCAATGGTGTTCTGTAGCTGTCTTCTCTCTCTATGGGTAAGTAGCTATTCCTTTATTCGCCGCTGGAAGAGATCCCAACTATGCTTCCCTCTAACGATAGAAGTGGAATCAGAGCTCCTTGACAAAAAGCTTGAATACAGAAAGATAAGATCAACACTGAATGCTTTCTATTATAGAAGTTGCGCCTAATGCTTAACTAACTATTAGCAACTATATTAGATAAAGAGTGAATCTGTACATTACTATATGCTAGTAAGCACTTTATTAGGGTTAGGGTATGAAGGGGAAGCACATAACTAATAGGGTTCAGGCTTATACGATGAATCTTATCCCCGAAGCCCCTATCGCCTGCCTGGAATTCCTTACTTTACTCTTTCACTAGAGGCCTAAAATAAAGCCTTTTTTTCTAAACTTGTGTTAGGCCTACCTATATCAGACAGCTTTCATTGGCTGGCCTTTTTACAAAATAGAAATTCCCTTCTATAATTAGATAACTGTATAAAGAAGACATAAAATGCTGGCTAGATGACTAAGGAAAGTAATAGATGTCCTTGTTTCTACCCTTCCCTGACTCGACGGCATCAAACACATAGTTCTTATCCAACAACGAAAACAGGCTGGCTAACGATGAGAGGAAAACAACAAAAAGAACTACCGCTAACAGGACAACTAACTCGCTTCACTAAGGGCAAGGAGCTAAAACCACTCAATTCTTTTCTTTGTGAAATTAAGGAGAGCAGCCAGCTGCAAGGAGTATTGAATCAATCAGGTACTGTCTACTGTCTTTAGCTTCACTGTCTTTAACTACACTATCTCCGGCCGGCCGGGCAGGATTGAATTAATCAGGTAGTTTTTTCTATCTCTTTGCATTACTTCTTCTCCTAGTCTTATTCCAACCTGAGAGTTTCACGGATGCTAGACGATATCCTTGGGGACATCGCCTAGTAGTAAGGCGGGATATCCACCCGGACATCCCTTACCGAAGGAAGCAACTGGAAAGAAAGAAGCTGTTAGCTAGATGGAGTAGTCTTACTTAGCAGCACAGTCTTTAACAGCTTATGCCTAAGGCTCAAAGGCTTTAGCAGCAAGCTGTTTAGTAGCTGGAGTATGCTTACTAGCTTTAGCAACGGGTTTAAGACAGATATGGCTTATTTAACAGCTGGTCTTACTAGCTTTACTGCTTAGTCTAATAGCTTATGCTTCTAACTACACTATCTCCGGACAGGCTAAGCTCCTTCTGGCCAGACAGTATGGTTTTATTAAACTAGCGTGGGTTAACGAAGTGTACTCTTAAGCTACGTATCTGGTTTCTTAGAATCTGTCTTAGTTACATCGCTTTCTTCTTTATCTAATTGAGTGCTTTCTTCAGTAAGAGTAGTCTCTATATTAATACCCAAATATTCAATCTTTTTTATCTCTTCTACTATCACACCATCCATTCTCTTTTCACTCTCTCTTTCCTTCTGAGACAACTTCTCATTAAGAAGAGTATTCGTTGTCTGCAGTTTCATTAGCTTTTTAAAAAGTGATTTGGCTACCCCACACATATCATTGACTTCAATGGGTAAAGTCTCTCCATCAGGTTGAGTAATCCTCTTACTGTTCAGTTTAATCCCCAAACTGTAATCATATTCTTTAACACCGACAGTCTGGTTGTCCCAATCAATCCCGAATTCATTTTTGATTTGGACTTTCATCCTACGAGAAGGGTTAGCGAGCTGTTCTCTGAACCAAGAAATATCCACCAGGTGTTTTGCTGGTCCTTTGAACTTAATTACATTTGTGTCTTCTTCGGAAATATAGCCATATGCTTTTGGCGCCAAAAAGTATCCTTCTTTGATTTTATCTTCTAATTTAAACAACCCTAAGACTTTGGAAGATATTAAGCCCTCTGGAAGAGGATTGGCAAGAACGATAGAGTCTGTGTCTGTGTAGTAGCAGTCATCCCTTGATATAAATGGGTGCATGTAGATCCTAGCGCATGCAGTGATTGCGGCGGAAAGTTGAACTGCGGAGTTCTTAGGCTGAGCCCAATGAATGTTATCATCAGCCGTAACAGTATGATAGGATACCATGTATAGGTTTTCTATAATCGGATGAAAACCAATGAAGGAATCTTGTTTCATCAAAAAGTGATAGCGCTCGCTATCGCATAACTCCGTTTTAGTGCTATTTGGGTTGATACCAAATCTTCCATAGAGCGAATTCATAAGGATTTTATAAACAAATGACAAAGCTTCATTTCCATCTTTCTTTGCCTGTAATCGACTATCGAAGTGAGAATTCACATATTCTATGAAAGGGCTTTCCTTCTTCTCGAAGAGGTACCCACTGACTGGAATCACAGTGTAGCCTATGTCTCTTGCATACTTTAACTCCTCGCTATAGTATACACCAACAAAATCACCCGTGGGGAAGAGAAGTGTACCATCTTTTCCCCGAACGGGGAGAAAAGGTTTTTTGACTGAAGAAGGGCATGACACAAAAGCCTCTATAAATCCAAATAGGCTATCTATGTCCTTATCAACCAGATTACCATCCCAGACTGGCTTACCTCCTGGCATGGGACATTTTTTCATAATGAACGGATAGAGTGAGTTCACATCATAGTAGAATAGGTTTCTACCCAATTTCTTGTAAGCGTCTGTATGACCTCCATAGTATCCACGACGAATGAAGGTATCTTCATTCCGATTAGGGATGTGGATGGGGAATGATTGATCATCGTAAAACTGCTTGCGAAAGATTTTCAGAGCCATAGCTGAACAAGTGAGCACGCTCACAATGTCCACCTTGTAGTGTGTCCAATACAACCTTTGGGCATTTTGCATTACACCCCCAAGAAGACGTATGTCTTGCTCCATATACATTAACACGCTAGCTCTCATCTTACCCAAATTTTCGACTGTCACTTTTTTATGATCAAAAGAACCCTTACTACCAAGACCAGGGCATAGACTCTTAGCAAGGCTATCTAGCTTTCCTGGAAGGAGATGCAGAGAGTCACGAAAGCTAAAGATTCTTTTATTACCCGCGTATACTGCTAATTCATAAATTCTATTATTCCTCATAAGAGGTTTTAGCCTAAAATTGGAATGATGTAACGCTAGGTGCTTCAGGATAAAAATCCCATCGAATCGTGAGAAGTTGTGGAAGTACACGGTTTGTATTGCTGGGTTTTGTTTAATAATTGAAATAATCCTATGTATAAAGTCGCTAAGTAACTTAGAGCTCCTTGCTTGAAAGCTTTTGAAGACTTCTGAAGTGTAATCCTCGCTGAAGTATGAATCGATTCGACTATTGTTTTTGATGTTATCACCAGGATGAACCATCATAACACCGGCAGCATACGGTTGGTGAATTTCATCAAGTAAAAGAGTCTCAGTGTCGGCAACCAAGAACGGGTTTAACTCCTTAGAATTGCATTTAACAGGAGTTATACTGCTGTAATATGTTTTCTTACGATTTCTTATCTTTTTAGGTGTAATCGTTGGCAAAGAACCGACCTCTACTTGATTACGAAGGGCCTCCTCCAGTTGTTTAGTTCTGTCATCAGAAGAAACGGATAGAATTTCTATCTTTTTACCCGCCTCCGTGTAGAAGCGAATCCCGACTCTAGGCACTAGTTCCCCCACGTATGACTCACCTTTATATAAAATACGACTATAAATATGACCTAAAACCTCACCCTTTGGTAAAGGTGTCCCATCACCCAAAGTCAATGGTATAGCCTTTCCTTCTACAAATGATAATAAATCCTCCTTGCTCTCTCTCCTACGCTCTTCCATAGCTCCCTTGCTTCCTGGAACTACAGGAAGATATAACTAGGAAGAGAAGACGATAAGACAATAGATGAAAGGTCTGCGTCTGCTCTAGTTCCTAGGTAAGAATACCACTATTATCTGTTAGATCTAGCCTTCTCTTTCCTTAAGCTTAACATAAGCGATTACATACCAAAAGCTTCGCTTAAGCGACTACGTTCCTTAAGGTTAAGCTACTACATATCCCCGGAAAAGACAAAGAAAAGGGTCTCCAAATGCTGACAATACCACTGCTACAACCACTGCTGCTCCTTCGTTGAACGAAACTGCTACGGTGAATGCCGCTGTTCCAGCCGTGAAACATGAAGACCGCTACTATTATCACTCCTCAGGGATAGAACTATTGCAGAAGAGACTTGATCAAATCGAGGGTGAGTTTGCTGAGTTCGAACGCCAAGTGTGCTGGCGCGAAGAGCGGGGCATGCCAACAGAGCCAGTCATAGAACGGATCCTGGATCTCGAGAAGGAACAAGAACAGCTCATCCAGCAAGTGAGAAGAGAGGAAGAGCGCTTGAGAAGGGAGGAGTTGCTAAACGAAGATGCTTCCTCCATATTGTTATGGTACCATAACACCCAATTGTTTTCTTTAAGCTTATGACCGTCTATAAATGAATCCTTCTTCAAAAATATGTTCTATTTATTGTCATCGCAGATCAAGGTTATCGTGCTTTTAGGGTTAATTCCAAACCTTCCGTACAGCGAATTCAAAAGGTTCTTAGGCAAGGGCGTCATTTCCTTCCTTCTTAGCCTTTAATCTTCTATTATATATAAAGAGTGCTAACATAGTCCTTGAACGGGCTTTCCTTCTTCTGGAAGAGGTAGCCTGAGAGCGGGATCACAGTGTAGCCTATGTCTCTTGCATACTTTAACTCCTCACTATAGTAGACACCAATAAAAGACCCCCCTTTTTTTTCCCGAAAGGGAAGGAAGGGTCTCTTTATAGTCTCGGGGCATTCCACATATGCCTCAATAAAGCCAAAGAGGCTATCTAAGTCCTTATCACCCAGATTTCCATGCCACTCAGGCTCACCTCCAGGCATCGGAAAATCATGCATTACATAAGGAGCAAGAAAACGGCTTTAGTGACTAACTAAAACGGCTTTCGCGTCACCCGGTGCTTGTTGGGAGTTAACGTCGTAGTACTTCATACGAAAGATGGTTAGAGCCACTGAAGAAAGAGTTACCTTGCATTCTATGTCGATCTTGTAGTTCTTCCAATATAACTCTTGGGCTTTTTGCACTACCTCACCAAAAATGTCATTTTTCATATATTCGATATACTCTTTTTTCTTAATAAGAAAATTTTCAAGGCTTACCTCGTCATAGGCGATAGAGCCTTTCCCGCCAATTCCCTTGCATAGATTCTTAGCTAGGACATGCAGCTTGCCAGGGAGTAGATGCAAGGAGTCTCTCCTGCGGAATAAGAGTCTATTACCTGTATAGACGGCTATCTCGTAGATTTTTTCCTCACCAGAGGTTTTAGCCTAAAATTGGAATGATGTAACGCTAGGTGCTTCACCAAGAAAATTCCATCGAATCGTGAGAAGTTATGGAAGTATACAGTTTGAATCGAAGGATTCTGCTTAATAATTGAAATTAACCTATAGACAAAGTGCGTAAGTAACTTATCCTTTCTTCAAAGCTTTTGAAGACTTTAGAAGTGTAATCCTCGCTGTAGTAGGTATAAATTCGACCTTTATCGATCACCACACCGGGACGAACCAGCAAGACACCTGCAGCATAAGGAAAATGAACTTTGGTCACATCCTCCTCACCGGTCTCGGGATCGGGAGTGGACTTGACATCTATTAGTATAGTCTCGGTATCGGCAACCAGGAAGGGTTTCAGCCTAGTTGAACCAGATTTCAGTGCTGTGATATGGGTTGGATAATTACGCTTCCGATATCGGAGAACTTTTGCCTTTCTTGGCTTGATATCCGTTAATATCGAACCTTTAAGAATTCGATAAGGATCTTTTCCCTAACCTCGGCAGAGAGGTACTGCGCCTCCTTTAATTTAGTCTCCAAAAAGACTCGGATTGTGACTCCAATAACCAAATATCCTTCGTATTTTTCGATCAAATCGATTATTCGTTCATTTAAAAGAGCATATATCTCACTCTTTGGAATTCACTTTCCATCTTCATAAGTTAAGTCAAGGCGATAGCACGACCAGCCGCAAAGGTGGTAGGTGTCCCGCCGGAGGTAAACATTGTAAATAAAACATTGAACTTAGCGTAATTCGAACCCGATAAGTAAGGGTAAGCACCCCGGAGTAAGAGATCCATGATAGCCAGACTGAGTTGATCAAAATCGCTAAAAGCGAAGTATGGCTCTTTGAAGGTATGAGAGGCTATGATTAGCCCTGGATGGGGGTGTTGGCATTTAGATCGGTCAACCCGGGAAATCATATGATTCAATAAGACGGAAGCTTCTTTTTGTCTGCTTTCCGCCGTTGTTGAATAAGCTCTGTTGATAAAATATCTCATTAATGGTGTAAACAATACTTTCCAGTGAGCTTTCTCTCAAAGCTCTCCCACCTTTCTTGATGGGCATTCCAACAAAGATTCTCGCCGCATACAGAATGACAATAGCCATAGTAGTGCTGTTTAAAACGCGAGACGTTAGCATTCCAGACTTTAAGTCTTCGTTTGTCATTTCTAATGTCCTCCGGTACCTCCAGACTAAAGAACTTGTCTAGCCTTTGGCTAGAGATTACACTCTGACAGACATCCTTTTCTGTCAAAGAATTATCCTCACCCGCACTTTCTCTATAGGGATTGAAATAAGATTCATCCAAATCATATTTCTGTATCTTTTCTCCTGACCGGGTCAAATATGTGAAAACCTTCTCAGTAGAATAGTAAACTCCTCATCTAAGTCAATAGAAGGGGCAGATGCTTTCTCTCTTCACGAGTCGTCTGGCTCTAGACTGACCCACCTTTTCCTACCCCCGAGCCGGCTACTGCTTTATCAAATCATTCCTTTTCGCGCACTACTTCACTTAACGGGCTATGCTACCTTGTGATTCTAGGAAGTCGGGGATTCCCTTTGCTATTTATTCTTCCTGTTCTTCGGGTCTCATCTGAACGGCTCGATGCCTATTTAGTTACTTTCTTTGTTTGGATTCCAGAATAGAACTACAGATCTTATCTTGGCCCCCTCCATTCGACCTTGTAAAAGGTCTCAATGGGGCCCTGCTCACAGCTCTCCATCTTATGCATCAAAAGGTTCAAGTAATCCATATTCTTCTTCCCCCCCCCCTTGAAAGAACATCGGTAAGTTTGCATTAGTTCAGCCGGAGTAAAGGAACCAAGTACGAATGCTTTCAGTAGTTCTCCTAGGTTAGAAGGGGAAGGTGTTCGGGATAAGAGAAGCAGGAAGGTGCTAGAGAAAAGACCTCGAGAACGCCTACTTACTTGAGATCCAAGTCCTATTATTACCAGATCTTTCTTCTATTAAGGCAATGTAATTGAATATCACGTTTAGAGAATCTGATGAGGAATGGCCAATAGATGTATCTGAAGACGCAGTCTAAGGCTGACAAAAGCCCTTACTTTTTTTTTAAGTAAGCAAGTAGTAACTACCTTAGGATCAAATGCTCTTTTTCTTTCTTTTGTCTTGGATTGCCATTGTATATATACTCGAAAATGCGAGCTTTCTATCTCACTTCTTTGCTAGCTTGCAACTGCTCTTCTTACTAGCACTGAAACTCACTCGGCTGTCTAGCGCCTTGCCTCGATTCAAGCCTCGTTCTTCCTTCTCGGGCCTGAGATTCTAAAGGAAAGGAGTTTCCGGTACCAGCAAGAAAACGGCTTTAGTGACTAACTAAAACGGCTTTCGCGTCACCCGGTGCTTGTTCAAGGCTGTGGTGAGGCTCCTTTTTATTTCACAAAATATACTCTTCCACTTCTATATACTATATACACTGTGTTCGACTGAACCCGTTCTCGTTTTGGCTCTGCGTTCATGAAATTCAAAGACCAACAACAGAAAGCAAATTCTTCGATCTAAATTTAAGGTAGTTTCTACTTGCTTACTTGTTAGAGTAAGGCGTATGGAATTGATTCATCTCTAGTACTGAGGGAAGGGGAATCCAGCAAGGTTTTGGCTCGCAATAAAGCTAGGGTCCTGATCGAGCAACTAGTAGTCCTATCTATCCACCTCTCCAGACACAATATCTTGAGTACCTATGATGGTGACCACATCGGCTGGCATGTGATGTTTGGACATAGAATCGAGTCCTTGTGAATGGGCAGAGCCAGGTGCTCTTATTTTACGACGGTAAGGACGATTGCTTCCATTACTGACCAGAAAGACACCAAATTCTCCTTTAGGTGCTTCAACTGCGGTATAGGTAGAAGGAGCTGGTACGGAAAAACCTTCTGTATAAGGTTCGAAATGGTGAATTGAGGTAGAGTAGACCGATGATCCTGTAGTCATTTGGCCGGCTATTGAAAGAAAAAGCTTGCATCTGCTCTCTTTATTATATAACCGGTCTCATCTCTCTCCAAACCTAACGTGATAGTTTCCCATCATAAGGCTTTCTATCTATAGATTAAGCCATTACCAAGGAGCTAATTTGTTCAGAACTCGGTTGACTGCTTCTATAGATAAGGCGGAGCGTCCTTGGCTCAGTATTTTCTCACATAGGGCTTCGGCCTACAGGGCTTCGCTAACTCGAAGCGCCCCGCTATGACTATGAGAATGGCGCTTTGCTAAGGCCTTGCCTTGTCAGCTTTGCTACCGACGCTTGGCTAAGTCTTGAACCTTCGCGCTGACCGTTCGCTTTCTCAGTAGCAAAAGCGCTTCTCTTTGCCCCTTAAGTAGAAAGACAAGAAAGAATTTTTGTGTTTTCTTGCTCTCGCTTCCTCATCTGCGCTCGTCAAGCCAACTTTCCTCTTTGGTTTGGGAGGTGAAACAGCGGTTGAAGCGGACATTTTGAAATAACTGCATCAAAGAGAGATATATATATATATATACACGGTTACGGTTATCCCAAACTGCGTTCTGGAAAAAGTGGCCTACTTGAGGGCACTCTTGTGTTTTAACCTCACTATACTATTCATAGTTGTGGGGCACTGTGTACTTACAACTTTTACGAGAAGCAAGTGAATGGGGCCAGTGCGTGGCGAACGGAACGCTTCATCAAGTCATTTCTCGCCTCACCGCCCTATAAATAATAGGAAGAAGGGTACTTTTTAGGGGTAATTGCTTCGCACCTGACTGTGATAGCCCTCTCGATACCTTATTTGAGCTTTGTTACTAGTGGCCGCTTTCCTGTCGCTAGAGCGCTTTCCCAGTGCACGGAGCCTCAACGAGGAAGGTGCTAGTGGTTTATCATTGGGTCAATAACCCTTCCCGGTTCCTCTTTTTGTGCTACTCCTAGGGCGGGAAAAAGATAAGAAAACACAAAGCCTTCTCTTGCTTTCCCAGCCTGTTGCTTCTAAAGACTGCCCTCTCTCGGCTGGATGTTGGCCCAGCCTACTATAAGGATCCCGTATCCAGCAACCCAACCTATACAAAGAAAAACTTCTGTTTTGTTTTTCCTTAACTAGTAGGGGTCCCGTGGTTCCTATGACGCCGCGTTTCCCGGTCCTTTTCTTTTAGTGCTTCGACCCAAAGCGATAGCTTCTAGCTAGTTCAGTGGATAAGATGGCTGCGCTCCAGCTCACTCAAGAATGGGACGGCAGTGGTCCGCCGGCAAGCTCGTTCTGATCTTGGACGCAGTACATTGGAATCCTGAAGCACCACCACGAACGCTACCGCGCGTCCGCCTGCGGTGCGGTAAGGCACCACCTGTTGTGCCAGCAGCCAACTCCGGCGTGTCAGCTTAGTTATCCTCATCAAGCCACTTACTTGATGTCTAGCTTTCCAACTGGTAGACGCTTTCTTTTCCCCCGGATCAATGAAGAAGAAAGAACTAAGTAGATTCTTCCTAAGAACCGGAAGCGAAGCGCTATGCCGGGGCGGGGGGACGAGAAAAGAAAGGGCTCCGAAGAGAGAAATTTAGGTTCCCAATGCTTCTCCACGCCCAACGAGATGCGCCAACCTCGGGATGCTTTACTCCTAACCCCACATGGTTCCGAGACGGAGCTTAACCTGAGTCTCGGTTAAGAACGGCAATGATCTACGTTTCGCACGGCGCACGATTCCATGGATAGTTTCATTCGATATCGTGATGGAGGACATAGCTTACGATCATCGGCTTTGATCATGCCACTAGGCATTTGATTAAGACATTGCACAATGATCCGAACACTTTGTCGCATCTCTTCGATACGGATACAGTAACGATCATAGCGATCTCCTCTGGTACCTACTGGTACGTCAAAATCCAATTGGTCATAAACATCGTAAGGTGCTGCTCTTCGCAAATCCCAGCATACCCCTGGTTGGGATGGGTAGGCCCACCACTTCACTTTCGCTTAGGCCCGAGCCAAGTCAGTGGGGGGCCCTGTCGGGCTCCTCCCCCCCCCAAAAAAAAACAAACTGTACTTGAGAGTTTCCCTTCATACGGCTCGAATCATTCTCAGATGCCCCGAGAGGGCATCCTTTCCTTCTTTGTTGGGTTGGTTCACGCGCGCGCAAACGAGCACCGGCCGCAACAGCAGGAAACTATGACCAATAGAGTCAGACACTTAACTACATCCGCACGCAAAAGGAATGAATGTGGTTCTGGTTGAGGCTTTCTTTCCCCTGCCTTACTAATAAGGGGGGCGCAGGACGTTCGCGGAGTCCATGCCTTCCGTACCACCACAAGAATGGTCGTTCTTGGGGGGATCCCGCTCCTAAACATAAGGGTAAGGGGGCCGGGCCTATCATATCAAAAGGGTTGTAAAAAGATAACCCGGCCACTTATTTCATTCGACGTTCCGGGGTAAGGACCGCCCGATTCGACCAACTTTATGATAACAAGAAGGCGAGCTGATCTGCTTTGATCAAGGAAAAAGCCCAGTCAGCCACCAACTCGGTGCAGGTCACGTGACCTACACGGCCTTCGCTTTTTGAGGCTTCCTTTACCCACATCTCTATGTGCCCGCAGCACTTCCATATGGAGAAAGATAGGCTTACCATGTTCCATCAATAGCACTTAACCTATGCCGATTTTGGCGGACTGTGCTCCACCCCGGTGAACTCATGCGGTTCCGACGTGCCCAGAGGCCAGAGGCGAATCCGTTCACGGTCCTACGGACCAACACCATTCGAAGGCGGGTGGCCCGCCCCACCTAGAACAGTCATGTTTGACTGGGCTTACACACATTCGCTCACTTACGCTGTCCCCCCTCAGCTCACCCTAGCCCGGGCCTTCTTCTAACGTAAGCTCCAAGGCTTCACACCAAGTCTTCACTGACATAATATGCATGCTTTAGTAGGGTCAGGCAGAACCGCTGTTGCCTGATGGGAACTTCCCCCATATTGCTATCAATGTCTTCATGTCGCACGACCTCTTAACATTACACCACTGAATCCCCAATCCTTTGCTTGCTGCGCAGTGACAGTACCAATATCCACTAATCGTTGTTTCCAGATACGGTTGCCGGTTGACATCTCTTCTAATTCGTCGATACGAGAAGCAAATTGTTGTGTGGAGGAATCAATATCTCGACATAAGCCAAGAGGCAGATCTTGTGCCACTCCACCTGGTCGTATGAAACTGGCATGCATCCTGGCTCCCGGGACTCTTTCATAGAATTCCAACAATTTCTCTCGCTCCTCAAAAGCCCACAGGAACGGAGTTAATGCTCCCACATCCATAGCATGAGTAGTTAAAGCAAGTGAATGATTTGAAATTCGAGTTATTTCACGGAATAACACTCGTATATATTGAGCTCGTAATGGTACCTCGCAATTCAAAAGTCTCTCTACGGCTGAAGAATGAGCGTGTTCTTGGGCCATCATAGAAACATAGATAGGGTCGACGACGGAACGAAGAACTCACCCCTAGATACAGCTTTTTCGTACACGTTCACTTGCATCACATACACAAGTGCTCTCTGAACCGTGCAATAAGGTCACCCATAACACGGCTCTCCTACTTGAGTTACTTTAGCCCCAGGTCATGCTATTCAATGATATTGTAAAAATGACAGCATAACCTAACAACTAGTATTGAAAACGGGTCTCCCTTTGATTGAGGGAGGTTGACGTCTAGTCAATAGGGCCCCCACTTTCCAATCACTAAGAAAAAAGAAATTTTAAAAACTATCTAAGTAAAGCTTGTCTGTTATTTTTTCTGGCCCCAAGGGAGTTTACTCAACCCATTTCCCAGTCTCTCGCACTGCTCAAGTAAGTGTGCGACTCCATATGAGGACCTCCTTCCCTTCTGCCCACTCTCCGTTCACACGGTTCTCAAAGCGGAGGAGGAAGGGTGAGCAGGAGGTACCACGAGCCCTCTGCCCCACACATCTATCCAGAAGCAAGTGTAGTTCACCGGTTTCACCGAATGCTCTTATCTCTCGGCAAAGATCGTGTGAGTGTGCAGTTATGCTTTGGATGCTTCGCCATAGAATAGATCGAGTCAGTTCCCGTTCTTTTCCGGTGTACTCGCTTTATATCTCCGACACACAAGGAAAGACGCGGTGGGGAAGAAAGTAGCCCTAGCCTCTGTCCGGCCGATCATTCCGCTGGCATCTCGCATTCACGCCCTCGTTTGACTGCCGCTCGGGGATGTAGTTGTAGATATGTTAGTC